TCATGTTCCGTCCATGCCCCCATCTCTCCCTAGTTCTGGGAGGGATGCGGGGGCCTCGGGTCAGAGTGCCAACAGCAGCTGGGGTGACCACACTTCGCCGATGGACGTGGCCCATCTCGGCGCTCGGCCATGTTGGTCCCTCCCTCGGCAGACAGAGAGACAGCACGGGCACCTAGCAGGCGACCGCTGGGCAGGACGGTGGCTCCTGCCCGAACTTCCCAGGCCTGCGCTGCCGTGGCACGCTGGCGACGCTGGCCGCATGGAGGCGGAGCGGAGCTCGGAGCGGCGGCGAAGGCGGCGGCGGAGCGGAGCGCGCACCGCCGGTCGACGAGAGGCCCGGCTCCGCGAGGGCAGCGCGGGCGGACCAGGGCTCGGGCGCGGCCACGACGGGGGGGATGACTACTCCAGATTTCGTAATGAAGGGATGGGGGGTCTCATTTTGGGGGGGTTCTTCCAGGCTATCTTGGAGGGCCTGGGGGGTCTGGGGACGATGCTCTGGAGGGTTCTCCCACGGGGGAGGTCTGGAATGGCTCGGCTTGGGGGGTCCAGACCCCCTCCCTTTGATTACGAAATCTGGACTACCCTGACCTTCCAGGAGGGCTAGATCGCACGCGAACTAAAAGCCTATCCCAGAGCTGTTCTGCGTCTTGGCTTTAGGCTGTCTCGCTCCGCTTTTCAGGTTCTTAGGCCTCCCGTGCTAAACATAGCTCTCTGGAAGATCAGGGTCGGGGGGGGGATCTCATGGCGTGCGCGGGTATTTCCCCAGATTTCATGGCGCCTCCTACTTCAGCACGTCCCTGCCCCCCCACCCTGGGCCGCGCACATGCCGCCGGTCACGTTTTGCGCCCCCCCCCCCCTCTTGGACGGCCCCCCCTCCTTGGCCGCCCCCGGAGGGGCCTGGAGAGGGGCCACGGCAGGGCACTGGCGGCCATCCTCTGGCACCGGAACGGTGGGAACTGGAGCTGGACAGGTTCAGCGTAGGAGAAAGTGCCCATACATCGGGAGGGGCCAAGAGGGGGGTGCTGACTAGGGGGGATATCCTGGCGGGGGCCATGATACATCTCCTCCGATTCCACGGCGCCTCTTCTTGTCCCATCACGTCCCTGGCCTCCCCGCTGGGGCGATATCCTGGCGGGGGCCATGATACATCTCCTCCGATTCCACGGCGCCTCTTCTTGTCCCATCACGTCCCTGGCCTCCCCGCTGGGCCGCGCACGTGCCGCCGGTCATGAGTTGCACCCCCCCTCTTGGCACACCCTCCTCCTCCTCCTCCTCCTCCTCCTCCTCCTCCTCCTCCTCCTCCTCCTCCTCCTCCTCCTCCTCCTCCTCCTCCTCCTCCTCCTCCCCCTCTTGGACACCCCCCTCTTGGCCGCTCCCGAATACATCTGCCCTTCGCCCGCTTCCCTCTTTTTGGGGGCCTCCCGGGAGGCCCTCGTCGCCACCGCCGGATTCGCCTCGCTGGTCGGAGCGCACCCCTGGGAGAGGTCTGGGGAGCAGCGGCATCGGTGCCCTTTCTGGTTTCCCCGGGGATTGTGGGCGCTGGAGCCGGAGAGAGTAGGAGGAGGAGGCGGATCAGGAGCAGGAGGAGGAGGAGGAGGAGGAGGAGGATGAGGAGGAGGAGGATGAGGAGGAGGAGGAGGAGGAGGAGGGGGAGGAGGAGGAGGAGGAGGAGGAGGAGGAGGAGGAGGAGGAGGAGGAGGAGGAGGAGGAGGGGGGGGAGGGGGAGGCTGAGGTGAGTTCCCAGGCGAAGTTTTCAAGGCTGCCGCGGCTGTCGCGGCGGCGAGGGGCGACGACAAGGGCGGCGCCGCGGGCTCGAAAGACAACGCGAGCTCCCTCGGCGCTGGCCGATCGGTCGCCTTCAACTTGACCAGGTCCAGAAATCGAGCCAAGATGGGAGATGTCCCTGCCGAAGTTAAACATTGGCTCTTGGACCTCCTCCCGGAGAGACCAGCTCGGGCGGCCATTGTTTTGGGGCCAGATAACGGGTTGACCAAAAGGGGGTTCAGCGACAAGGGGGTGGGGCAATAGATTTGGTGCAATCGATTTTGTGGGGTTGCAAAACACTTGGGGCGTGCAAAACCTCCTGGGGCGCCAATGTATTGCTGGATTCTCGCGCGCAATACACTGCTTGCAACACAGTGCAATAGAATCCTCAGGCGCGATACGTTTGCAATACAACAGGCCTCGGAACAAAAATACCCTGGCGACGTACCCAACCCCTGCGCAATGCGGGGCATGAGTAGCTTGGGAGTCGTTATACGGAGGTGATGACGTGACATGGGCGCATATACTTCTGCGAGCGGCATTCGTGAGGCTCGCAGCCCCCCATGGATTGCCATGTCCCGCTCAGATCTGCCTGGTGCCTCGCTCCGCTGGACCCACCAGCAGCCCTCGAAAGTGGCGACAGTTTCGCAGATCGCAGCCCCCCCAGGGACGGCGAGGTCCCGCTCAGGTCCGCGCGGTGCTTTATTCCGCAGGACCCACCAGCAGCCCTCGAAAGTGGCGACAGTTTCGCAGATCGCAGCCCCCCAGGGGCGGCGAGGTCCCGCTCAGGTCCGCGCGGTGCTTTACTCCGCAGGACCCACCAGCAGTCCTCGAAAGTGGCGACAGTTTCGCTGATCGCAGCCCCCCAGGGACGGCGAGGTCCCGCTCAGGTCCGCGCGGTGCCTCACTCCGCAGGACCCACCAGCAGCTTTCGAAAGTGGCGACAGTTTCGCAGATCGCAGCCCCCCAGGGGCGGCGAGGTCCCACTCAGATCCGCGCGGTGCTTCACTCCGCAGGACCCACCAGCAGCCCTCGAAAGTGGCGACAGTTTCGCAGATCGCAGCCCCCCAGGGACGGCGAGGTCCCGCTCAGGTCCGCGCGGTCCTCGACTCAGCAGCCCTCGCAGTGGCGCGCTCGCAACAGGCGCTCCGCGCGGTTTCAGCAGGCCCTCGAAAGTGGCGCAGATCAGCAGCCCCCAGGGATGGCGAGGTCCTGTTTGGATCCGCGGTGAGGGCTGGCCCCCCAGCAGTCGAAAGTGGCGACAGTTTCACAGATGAGGTCCTGTTTGGATCCGCGGTGAGTACCCTCTCTGCTGGCCTCCCCAGCAGCCCTCGAAAGTGGCTACAATTTCACAGCTCGCAGCCCCCCCAGGGATGGCGAGGTCCTGTTTGGATCCGCGGTGAGTGCCCTCTCTGCTGGCCTCCCCAGCAGCCCTCGAAAGTGGCGACAGTTGCACAGATCGCAGCCTCCCCAGGGATGGCGAGGTCCCGTCTGGATCCGCGGTGAGTACCCTCTCTGCTGGCCTCCCCAGCAGCCCTCGAAAGTGGCGACAGTTTCACAGATCGCAGCCCCCCAGGGATGGCGAGGTCCTGTTTGGATCAGCGGTGAGTGCCCTCTCTGCTGGCCTCCCCAGCAGCTCATCGAAAGTGGCGACAGTTTCACATGTCGCAGCCCCCCAGGGATGGCGAGGTCCTGTTTGGATCCGCGGTGAGTACCCTCCCGGCTGGCCTCCCCAGCAGGCCTCGAAAGTAGCGACAATTTCACCGATCGCAGCCCCCCAGGGATGGCGAGGTCCTGTTTGGATCCGCAGTGAGTACCCTATCTGCTGGCCTCCCCAGCAACCCTCGAAACTGGCGACAGTTGCACAGATCGCAGCCCCCCAGGGATGGCGAGGTCCTGTTTGGATCCGCGGTGAGTACCATCTCTGCTGGCCTCTCCAGCAGCCCATCGAAAGTGGCGACAGTTCCGCAGATCGCAGCCCCCCAGGGATGGCGAGGTCCTGTTTGGATCCGCGGTGAGTACCCTCTCTGCTGGCCTCCCCAGCAGTCATCGGAAGTGGCGACAGTTTCACAGATCGCAGCCCCCCCCAGGGATGGCGAGGTCATGTTTGGATCCGCGGTGGGTGGCCTCTCTGCTGGCATCCCCAGCAGCCCTCGAAAGTGGCGACAGTTTCACAGTTCGCAGCCCCCCAGTGATGGCGAGGTCCTGTTTGGATCCGCGGTGAGTGCCCTCTCTGCTGGCCTCCCCAGCAGCCCATCGAAAGTGGCGACAGTTTCACAGGTCGCAGCCCCCCCAGGGACGGCGAGGTCCCCGTTTGGATCAGCGGTGAGTACCTTCTCTGCTGGCCTCCCCAGCAGCCCTCGAAAGTGGCGACAGTTCCGCAGATCGCAGCCCCCCAGGGATGGCGAGGTCCTGTTTGGATCCGCGGTGAGTGCCCTCTCTGCTGGCCCCCCCAGCAGCCCTCGAAAGTGGCGACAGTTTCACAGGTCGCACCCCCCAGGGATGGCGAGGTCCTGTTTGGATCCGCGGTGAGTGCTCTCTCTGCTGGCCTCCCCAGCAGCCCCTCGAACGTGGCGACAGTTTCACAGGTCGCAGCCCACCAGGGACGGCGAGGTCCCGTGTGGATCCGCGGTGAGTGCCCTCTCTGCTGGCCTCCCCAGCAGCCCTCGAAAGTGGCGACAGTTTCGCAGGTCGCAGCCCCCCAGATACGGCGAGGTCCCGTCTGGATCCGCGGTGAGTACCCTCTCTGCTGGCCTCCCCGACAGCCCTCGAAAGTGGCGACAGTTTCACAGGTCGCAGCCCCCCAGGGACGGCGAGGTCCCGTTTGGATCCGCGGTGAGTGCCCTCTCTGCTGGCCTCCCCAGCAGCCTTCGAAAGTGGCGACAGTTTCGCAGATCGCAGCCCCCGCATTTGGCAGCCCCCCAGGGACGGCGACCACAGGGGGGGCGGGAGAAGGACGCGACCACACCCCTCCATTCAAAACGAATACCCAACCAAGGAGGGTTGGGAAATAGCGAACACTCATGCCACATTCATCTGTGAACGCATCCCCCTCCCCCCAATGTTCTAAGTTGGCGGTGGGTATGACGAGTTGCACCTCGACCGCAGTCTCCCCCGCGCGTGCCTACCTCGAGTTTGGGGGTCAGGGGGAGGTGTTCACTAATTGTTCCCCTCTACCGAATTGCCCCAAGTCTATTGCACCGCCCTCTTTCAGCTGGACCCCCTTGTGGGTCGCCCAGAAGAGAGCGGGCCTCGGCCCGATGGGGGCCCGATGGGGGCCTCGGGCCGCGGGAGGCCTCGGGCCCCCGCGGTGCTGCGGCAGCCATGGCGCCCTGCAGAGACCCAGGAAACGCTAGAGACCTCCCAGCAAGGGTCAACCCGCATTCACTCTTCCTCCTCCTCCTCCTCCTCCTCCTCCGTAGCCATGATTGGCTCAAGCTTGCCCGAGCTAGTTTGAAGCCGTAGCTAGTCTGACGCCCCAGTCAGACGTTTGATGAGCTTCAGATTCTTGGGCAGCTGCTATGGGTTCGAGTCTGCTCTGGAGGCTGGCATGTCGGTAGGGCTCTCGATATGGTGCTTCTCGGCCGTGTGCAGTGCTTCTGCTTGCGCAGATGCCGACATCTGGACGCCTTTGGCGGTACTTGCTGTGGCGAATATTATCAGAAGTGGCGTGGCTGCAATGACACTGTACGTCTGCACTGCACGCGTCGATGTGTGGCGGTCGGTGGTCAGCGCCTATCTGCTCAGTCTCTCTTATGCAGTTCTCTTCGGGCATGCGTGGATTGTTTTCTGCTGGCACAGGGCTTCTATCGACGACCGAGCCAGGGAACGTAGCCACAGACCCGAAGCAACCGTTCGCTTTCTGATTCCGATGATCAACGACTTATCCTCCATTGTGTGGTGCGTGTGCGTGTTCAGCCTTCGCGTCCCGACGCAGAGTGGCCCGCCGTATCATCACGTGGCGTCTTTCGTCGTTCGCGACGTCAATTTGAAATGCATGGACTCGACGTGCGCCATCTGCTTTGATAACATATCATCGGGCTGTCTTGCAGGAAGGCTTCCTTGCGGTCATGTCTATCATGACCTGTGCTTGCGAACCTGGCTTTACAAGGCAAACCCTGAGACTCCGTGTCCCATGCGTTGCTCGGGTGTTGCGAGTTCCAAGATTGGATTGTCAGCAGAATAGCCGCGTCACGTTTCGAGGACCCCCCTCGGAACTTCACAGGTGGCCCTTTGCACCTGATGAGGCCGAAGTAGACCTCTTGCCGCGCCTGGTATCGAGGCGGCCGTCTGGCTTCGTGCGACGCTCACAGGCAGCTTGCGTCATCCACCGCAGAACCAGGCCACATTGAACACTGTCGTGTCGTCTACAAGAGGAGTAGGAGGAGGAGGGTGCGGCTGTCGCTGCCCGGCCCGGGCGGGAGTGGGTGCGATGCACGAGCTCTCGCTGCCGCCCCTTTGGGGGCCCTGGCGCAGGGGCCGCCGCCGGGCCCCCCTCCCCCTCCTCCTCCTCCTCCTCCTCCTCCTCCTCCTCGTCTTCCTCTTCTTCCCCGGGGGGCGGGGCGGCGCGAGAGCGCGAAGTTCTTCGCGCTTCGTGCAGCCGCCATCGTGCCACCACCCCGAGGCCTCGCAGAACGGGTCGCCTCCTCGGTCCATCCATGGCCGCTTGCGTTGGCCACTTGGTTGGCAGCGCCTGTCATTCGCATCGTCCGTTTCAGCCCGAGCCCGGGGCCACTGCGCGTGTCTTTGCAGCCGTTGCCACATGGAGGAGCACCGGCACAGCGAGCGGACCTTCGGGCGATGTCTTCGCGGGGAGAAAAAGCTTTCGTCGGCCACTTCGGTCCATCCCAGGCCTCCCAGGTGGGGTCCGAGCAGCTGGGGTCGGAGGATCGCGCCGCCCCGCCGAGGCCTCGGCGGTACGGCGCGACGTGGAGCCCGATGTGCTCCGCGCCGGCGGCCCCGCTGCGGCGCGCTCCTCCGACCCCATCTGCTCGGGCCCCATCTGGGAGGCCTCTGGCAGCGTTCCTTCGCGTCCTCTCCTCTCCCTCCCTGCCCAGCGCGATCCTCCGACCCCATCCACTCGGGCCCCATCTGGGAGGGCCTCCAACCACGTCCCTTCCCTTCCTCTCCTCTCCCATCCCTTCCTCTCCCTCCCTTCCCTTCCCTTCCTCCATCCTTCCCTCCTCCATTCCCTTCCTCCCTCCCTTCCCTTCCTCTCCCTCCCTTCCATTCCTCCTTCCCTCCCTCCCTTCCTCTCCCTCCCTCCCTCCCTCCCTCCTCGCCGCCTCCTCCTCCTCCTCCTCCAGCCAATTCGCGGTGCCCCGCGAGAGCCGTCCCCGATCTTCCTCCTCCCCCACTTCATCATCATCCTGCTCCTCATGCACCTCTTCCTCCTCCCCCTCTTCCTCCCATTGCTGCTGCTGGTGCTGTTTCTCCTCCTCCTCCTCCTCCTCCTCCTCCTCCTCCTCCTGCTCCTGCTCCTCCTGCTCCTACTTCTCCTGCTCCTCATCCTCCTCATCCTCCTCTTTCTCCTCCTCCTTGTCCTCCTCTTCCTCTTCCTCCTCCTCCATCCCTGTTCCTTATTAATCATTTCTCCCTGTCGCACCCCGAGGCCACTTTTTAGGGCGGGCCAGGCGTTTCGCCTGAGACTTCCCCAGCACTCATGATTCTGAAGCTTGGAAGTGGACAGAAATTTCACAGATGGAGGGCGGGTCGTTTTCAAAGTGTGGCTCTCGCCTCAGCGCCGCGCATGTTCGTGTTAGAGCACTGCAAAAGTTTCACGGAGTGGGGGCGAGTGGTTTTCGAAATGTGGTTTTCGCTTTAGTTCCGCATGCATTATTTTAGAACATGTGCCAGAGTTTCACGGATTGAGGGCGAGTCGTTTTCAAAATGTGATTCTCGCTTCAGCGCCGCACACATTCGTTTTAAACAGCTGCAAGCGCTTCACGGACTGAGGGCGGTTCCTTTTCAAAATGCGGTTCTCGCCTTACAGCGCACATTCATTCTCAAACATTCGCAAGAGTTTCACGGAGTGGGGGCGATTAGTTTTCAAGCGGTGGTTATCGCCCTAACGCCGCGCACATTCGTTCATAATTTGTGCAAGCGTTTCGCGGATTCCCATGATCAGCGTAGCAGAAACGTTGTTTTGGAAGGATTCAGGATGATGCGGGTGCAACAGAGACGTTGGCTCGCGGTGTTTAAGTCCCAGGAATGGCGTTATGACACGGTTTAGGATCGCAAAGACGCAGCAGTCAGGCTGATCCGTGGCGCTGGACTCCAGGGAACAATGTTTCGCCATGCTTCAGTGTCTTCAAAAGGTTGTCTTCCAGCGAGGCAGTTCCCTCAATGGCAACGAACCGTTATATGGCCCTATGAAGAGGGAGCTTGGAGGGTGTATTCCAAGATCGTTGATGACTTTTGGGTTTTCACTGGTCCTCCTCCTCCTACGCCTCCGCCTTTGCCTCCGCCTCCTCGCTCCTCCTCGCTCCTCCTCCTCTTCCTCCTCCTCCTCGCTCCTCGCTTTTCCTCCTCCTCATCATCATCATCCTCCTCCCGCTCCTCCTCCTCCTCCTCCTCTTCCTCCTCCTCCTCCTCCTCTTCCTCCTCCTCCTCCTTTTCATCCGCGGACCTCGACCATCGAACCTTGACCCTCGGTCCTCGATCTTCAATCGACGACATCAGCGGCGACGGCCAAAGGGCTCCAGAGGTCTTCAGAGGTCTCCCGAGATCTCTGGAGGTCTCCTGTGGTCCTGGCGAAGGAGGTCTATGCAGAAGCTTCTGGAGGCCCACCATGCAAAGGCTTCTGAAGGCCCCTGGAGGACCCCAGACGCTTTCGGAGGTCCCCAAAGCCCCAGAAAGTGCCAATTGCGTTCAAACACCTCGCAATGAGTTGTTCCTCGACCATCGATCTTCCTTCTTCGACGACGACGACGACGACGCAACAACGACGACGACGACGACGACGACGACGACGACGACGACGACGACGACGACGACGGCAGCGGTGGCGGCGGCGGTGGTGGTGGCGGCGGCGGCGGCGATGGCGACCGCGACGGCGACGGCGACGGTGACGGCGACGACGACTACGACGAGGTCGGCCACGCCGACGGCGACGACGACGACGATGACGACGACGAGGACAGAGGACAGAGGACGACGGACGACGACGACGGCGACGCCGACAGCGACGACGAGGTCTGCGAAGACGACGGACGACCACGACGATGACGATGACGGCGCCGGCGACGGCGGCGGCGGCGATGGCGACCGCGACGGCGACGGCGACGACGACTACGACGAAGATGGAGGACAGACGACGACGGACGACGTGGGGGAGGGTGTGGCGGGGGAGAGGAGGAAGCGGGGGACAGGGGGGAACGGAACGGAGGGGGCAGCGCAGACGGAGGCGGACGGACAGGGAGACGAACAAGGGGATAATCGCAAGGATAAGGTGACAAGGCCCCCCACGTTCGTCGGCGTCGGAGCATTCAGCCGTTTGCGTAGATGTTGCTTTGCAATCGGGAAGGTCCTCCCATGATCCTGAAGAACAAGAAAGCGGGATGTACGAGCTCTCTCGGACAGCAGAAAACAGCACTGTGGCGTCGATGTTCGCACGTTCTACTTCGTGTCTCCGCAAGGGCAACGCATGAAGCAGTTGATAGCTATGCGTCCGCGGTGTGCTTCGACGAGGAGGAAGACGACCACGACGACGACGACCACCACCACGACGACGACGAGGATGGAGGACAGACGACGAGGGCGGCGGCGGTGGCGACGACGTCAGCGGCGCGCGAGGTCAGGATAGAGCCGCCCCCGAGCGGCTGCTCCGCGGCCGTGGCGTTGTCGACGGCGAGCTGGGGCAGCCTGCCCAGCAAGGCCTCTGCGCCCGCGCCAGCGTGGCTCGCGAGCTGTACCCTCAAGTCGGGCCTGTCCCTCTACAGGGGGAATCTTCAAAAATAGTCAAAAATAATACGGGGACTATTTTTTTACCATTTTGGAATATTTGGGATATTTCTTATTTTTCGTCGGAAATCCTCCCGTAGGGGGACACGCCCGACTTTCCTGTACCCCTCTGGGGGTCGATGGTCGAGAAGATCGAGGGGCCCAGACGTTCGATGATCCTCGGGACTCGTGTCAGCCCAGTGCGTGTCTGCCCCGTTCAAGATCCGCTGGCAGCAAGCAGCCCGTGTTGACCCTCCTCGGTAGCGACGCCGCCCCCGTCGCACTGGAGGGGCCCGGATGGGAAGGCGTCGGGCTGCGCACAGACAGCCCTCTCGGGTCCTGGCTGCGTGATGAGACCGCCCAGGACGTGGGCCTGTTGAGACCAGCCGGGACTACCCGGGGCTCTTGTCGAGGCCGGCCGGGACTTGGGGGGCTGTGTTAAGGGAGGAAGGACCTTTCAGTCCGGACAATCGGCGTTTACTGAACGGCCTTGGGCGTTTACTAAACAGCCCTGCCCTGTGCGATTCCTTCTTTGGGCGCGTTTGCTAAACGGCTTCGAGTGTCGGAGCGGTTCTTGTCGGGGTGGATGTTGCTGCCTTCTAATTATGTGTGCCAGTCGAGTGGATCGAGGGGCCCCGCCGCGTTCTCGGGCCTTCTCTGGGGCGCTGCCTCGCCGCCACGGCCGCGGCCGCCGCTGCGTCTCGGGCAGAGCGCACGCCTGGAGAGGTCGGGCGGCCGCCTCTCGTGAGGGGAGTGTGCGGCAGGAGACGGAGACCCCGGCCGGCGAGGCCCTGCAAAAGTCAGGACGCCAAGCTTCAGGAGGGACAAAAACACGAGTGGGGGGGGAAGACAAAAACTTAGAAGATATGGGACAAGATGGGGAATCCTTTTTGACTTGTGCGTATTTATTTGTGTGTCCTTGGGCCCCTTCGAAGCTGTTCTTCGTTTTCGGTCTCCAGGGGCAGGCCTCGGGCCCCGGAGCTCCGAGCAAGCATCGCGTCGGAGGATAAATTTGGACGCCCGAAATGGGTACGGAAAGAATGGGCACTCCAGATCTCGTCATAAAAGGGAGGGGGTCTGGACCCTCCAAGGCGAGAAGTTTTAGACCCCCCCCCCCGTGGAAGAACCCTCCAAAACGTCGTCCCCAGACCCCCCCAGGCCCTCCCAGATAACCTGGAAGAGACCCCCCCGAAATGAGACCCCCCTCCCTTTATTACGAAATCTGGAGTACAATGCCCAGCAGCAAATGTTGTCCCAAACCAACAGCGGCCGCTGTTGGGCAGGCGGCCTTCTGTCTCGAACGGGCACAGGCCGCGGCGGCGCGGACAGCGAGTCTTGTGCAAAATGAACAGGAACTGCTGTTGGGCATTGTACCCATTCTTTCCGTACCCATTTCGGACGTCCAGAATAGATGGACAGAACGCCACGTCAAAAACGTGTCAGCAGGCGTGGGCCAGTGAGTGTGCACAGTTGAGGTCAAAGCTCTACGCGGTGGAAGCTATGTGGTGGAAGCTGCGTCGTGCAACTCGTGTGGTGTGAATTGGAGGTGACAAGGTACGCGGTGTCACTTATGTGTGATCAGCACTATGTTGACATGTATGCGGTCTGAACTATAGGTCGAAGCTATGCGATGTAAGCTATGTGGTGAAAACTAAGCCATGCATGCCAATATGGTGTAAGCTGTGTGGTGCAAGCTCTGCGATGCAAGCTATGCTTTGTAAGCTATGCTGTGCCATCTATATGGTGCAAGAAGCTGTTTGATACAAGCAAGGGCGCACGCTGTGTGGTGCACGCCATGCGGTGTAAGCTGTGTGGTATAGGCTACGTGGTGAAAGCTACGTCGTGCAAGCTCAGCGCACGGGGCGCCCACGAGGTACCCAGGAGGCGGCACGGGCGGCACC